CACATGTCCCAAACCAAACCATTATTATTTCCCAGAGTTTCCAAATCAAGTCCCTCCATTTGCTGCAGCTGCCTCCTACATTCCAGCACTTACTGAGATCCCTAGTGCCTCGTGAAGTATTTCTCATCCTCTTAGTTCCCCACAGTGTTGCTGTGACTTTCTGTCCTTCTTCACAAATTGGGGATCAGCTTTGTCACCTCATCTACGGCAGCCTGAGATTTGCTTGTTATCACAAAGGATCCTTTGCCAAACCTTGCCAACAGGCAGAGATGAAGGGATGGACGGTGCACCATATTCATTCTCTGTCACCACCTCTGTGGTTGGTGGCTGATTCAGGCAGAATGGTTTTCTGGCGGCCATGGTGTAGCTGGGAGCATGCTGACTGGGACAGCAGAGACTTAACACACTCTCCCAGATAGAATCCTTCTACAGGCATAGATAATCATAACACTTGCAGATGCTTGATATGTGTGAAACATTGGATCCTTTGTCAAAATTGCTAAATTTTATATGCACCTCATCCTTCCTTCCCCCTACAAAACCACATATTGTCTGCTTGGTCAACAATTTAGCATAGCTATGTAAGAACTAATTAAAGATATTTATTTTCCCCAGAAAGGTACAACTATTTTCACAGGCCTAATGTATGTATATATATATATATAATCCAGGTTGGCAATTTAAAGTTATTACTGGATTCATTAAAGTCTCAATATCCTACCTACTGCAGAGCTGCTGACAGGGCGAGATTTAGGCAAAATCAGTGGATCCAATTAAATCCAGAGGTCCATACATTGAGTACTTCCAGAGTGCAAATTATTGGTGACATTTCTAAACAGTGATTGGCAGCTGAAGCCAGCACATGTTTCCTATGCCACTTTGGAATGTCATTATGAACAGGGGAGGACTTTGCAATCTGACTATGATAGTAGGGGGGAAAAAAAACAGTTTTCTGTATTTTAATCTCCTTAATTCTTCAGCAGATTATTTTTCTGGAAATACTGTACACTCCCAACACAGCTCAGGATTCTGATTTGTATTACAACTTTCTAAAGCTGTGATCTGCAAAGGGCCATCCCAAAACCTGGGGTTGTTAGATTTCTACTCATGCATAAGAAGCAGCTTCCTTCCTATGGATCCCCATAACTATCCATTATCAACTTAATATTCTGAAAAAGAAATGGTTGTGTTTATTCATTTTCCTTTTTAATACAATGACTTATCTGAAATAATATTCTAACCTAATTAATATTCATTTTGGTGCATTGTTTATTAGCCCAACTGATTCCCAATTATATCTCCCTATAAACCTTGATCTGCTAGAATAAGTACATTCCAAATATAAATAATTAATAAGACAAGCATACCTTTCTTATCATGGGTTGTACATTATCAACTGACTCACAGTTCATGTTTGCTGTTGCAATCACTTTGCTTCCAGCACTGCAGCTTAAGTATCCGTCCTTGTTGCTACTGCAAGGGAATAGGCTTAACCATCTTGCTTTTTATATGGAGTAGGATAAAGAAGTGGGCATCTATGAGAACTCAAGGTCAGTTATCTCTGTGAGGGTTTTTTTTTAATGTTATTAATATAACAAATTGTTAAAAAATTAGGGTCTGATCACGTAATTATTTTGTGTGCAAAAATGACAAAAAACATCAAATTGAATTAGTTCAGCACTCTGAAGTACTGCAAAATCAGGTATCTAGAAAAATGTATAATACTGCAAGTATATCATTCTGCACAATGCTGCACTGTTTTTAAATTAAATAAAGTAGAGTAATGTACAACAACAACAAAAAATCAACCAATTCCATTTCCTTTTTCCCCATATAAATAAATACTGAAGATTCTATGTCATCAAAAATAAGTCCAAAGGAATAAAACCTGATTGGTAAAATTTTGCCCACAGTGATGTAATAGACACCCAAAACCCCACGTTTGGTAGATGAATTTCCACTATATTCCTCATTATATCTTCAGCTGCCTGAATTATTTATTAGCGATAACATGCCCAGTGAATATATTGTGATATTATTTATACAGTAGGAATGATCACTGGAGGCTGATGGCTTTTGTTTATGTTTTCTACAGTATAGCAAAGCTTCAAATAGTGAGAGCAGTTATATTTCTCATTTTCAAACTAGTTTATAATAATAATAATTTTGTTCAATTATTTCATTAGATAAGAATAAAGTAGATATTTTCAAACTGACATTTAAAATCAGAGTGTGAATAACCATGTGTATTCGCACTAAGCTTTACAGTGATTTCTAGTCAAATCTACAAATCAAGACTCATTCTGTTAGGGTGAATGTATGAAAATCTAATTCTTCCTGAGTTTAAGTGAAGAAGCAAAGACGCATTTCTAAGTTATATCAGCTGTTATTAGACTGTAATAGAAACTCAAGGTAAGATGCCACTGCTGAAGACATAACTGAAAACCATAAGGATGGGCTCAGTAAGCCTGAAAAATTAATTCTCCTGCCAGTTGTTTGCCTCAAGGGAAGTTGTGTCTTTCACTGACAACAGAGCCATAGGAATCTCTATCAGTCGTGGATAGGAGTCCTGATCCTCTGTCAGTCCTGTGGTACTGAAAGAAGCGGTTACAGAAAAGTGAGTTAGTTTACTCCTAATACAGTTTCTGTAAAAATCTCAAAGCATCCTCAGCATTCTGATGCAGACTTTGTAGATCAGTCAGACCAATGATTCTACCAGCTAGCAGTACTGATCAGGGCTCCAAGACGTGGAAGGAAATCAGCTTCTTGATTAGCTAGAGCCAGATTCACCACTCTCTTCCCTTTCTTTGAAGTTTAGTAGGTTGGACTACCGGGTTTCCTGAAATTACTTGTTCTCATCACACATTAACTTCAGTGTCCTCTCCATAATGCTTTCTATTACATCCTTGAAATACAGCAGAGAGGAATGCCATAGTTTTCATCTTCAAGCTCTTTGGAAGTTTATCCATGTTTTCCTCCAAAATTGAATGATTTCCTTCCTTCTTCCCTTTAAGATCCACATAGTCACACATTCCTGGATTGCACACCCTGGCTACAGAGGTCTCACATAATATTTGACTGTAATTTGTATAAAATATCCTGAGAGAGGACAGAAGGGCACCGGGATCTTCCTGTTCAACATCCACTGTTCCATATGGGACACATAAAACTTCTGAATAGTATGATTTATTGCCTAAAGATGCTTTCAGTCTTCATAACTGTAACTGCACTACTGAGTAAACAAGTACCTCTCTGCCAAAAATCCCAGCCAAAAGTAACTGTCCCATGTACTCTTGGTGAGCTTGAGTTGAACAATGGCTGCTCTCTACAGTATCTTACCATCACTGCAGCTTTCAGAGGATATGTTTATCTGAGCATGTTACCCTTCTTAAATCCCTCTAAGACACGGATGTCTAAAACATATCTGTTGTCACAAAGGTTAGGGTGAATGTTACCAGTTAGGTTATGTTACTATACCATGTATTAGGGCTAAACAATTACTAACTCCCAGAAGAAATAGCTGCCAAGCTGTCCATAGCTTTCATTATAGAAAATAATACTTTTCTATCAACAGCTCTTTTCTCATATTCTGTTGCATTAGTGTTGCTTCACAACAAAATCTTACTGCAGAGCTGTGCTGGAAGCAGTTAGGTTGAACTGTGAAAACTGCCTCCAGCAAACTCCTGCAACCTGTGCCCTTCTTCTCCCAGGAACAATCCATGTTCATCCTGGAAGACAGAGTTTTCTCTTTTTTGCTCAGACAAAGAGGACAAAAACAGAAAGGAGAGGAGTAACCTTTGCTGGCTCCCTCCCCTGTCCTAATACCATCCCATTGTTCTTATTTTAACAGCATGTGGGCGATGGAGCCAGCTGCTAGACCTTTCTCATTTCTCTGCAGGTCTCTGCAATAAAGGCTGCGTGCATATGGAAAAATAATTCTGGTCTAACACTAGAATCAAGTTCAAGGGACCAAAACGCGGTTTTCTTTCTCAAATCTCTCTAAGGTCTCAAAAACACTGGGCCAACCTTCATCTCATGGATCCTAAGTCTCTCTTCCAACATCAGAGTTCATCTTTCCAGCACACACAGGAAAACACATTCAGACCTAAGTGTCTGCAGACTGCAGAAACACTGTTACTACTCCCATGTTCCTTCAGTCTTTTGAGATCAGATATGAGCTCACGCTGCCTACACTCCAAGACAGCTGCTGCTGCTACTGTCTTTTTTTTATAACAGAATATACTTGTTTGGCTTCAGCACTGGACTATGCACATCCTCAGATCTTACGTACACGTTGGAGAAAAAGCAGAGCTTATTCCCATAGATCAGGCAAAAATATTTTGTCCTTCTGATCTACTCATTCTCCCAAGCTGTTTTCCTCCTTTTTTTTTTTCCTGACAGTTTCATAACCTTCACTTGGGCAGCCTTCCAGGAGACCCTGATTCAAGGTCCAGTGTTTTTCCCAGACACTGTACAATCCCATGCCACAGTAAGTGCATTTCTTAAAGTGTGAAGACTGTTTTGCACTTCATAACTCCAGAATATATGACAAATAAAACACTGTCCACAGGAGCTGCATCAGTGCTGGTTATTTCAGCATATTTCAGTGATTAGAGCCTCAGTGTTCTCCCGTCATTTCCATTCTTTCTTCTAAAGGAAAGCAGGGAATGGACCTTAAGAAACTATTGTCCCTATTTTGAAGTCTGTCACAAAATTTCTATTAATCCCAGGAGTCTGAGATTACTGCATCTTTAATTGTGCCTATGTCTTTTCTTTCTCTTTTAGCCATTAATTCAGTAATTCCACAGTCCTAATGTGCATGGTGTACCATAGCCCTCTCACAACTTAAATCTGCCCCAGATTGGGGTCCTCTGGTTCAGGGAAGTGAAAGGCTCTGAAAACAGATAATTAAACCGATCCTCACTGTGGTCTGCCTGCGAGTATGACTGCTTCAACTTGTGAATATTATTTCTAATAAATCTGCCTTTTCAGAAGGTGCATAACTTATTTAGCCATTTATTGAAGTTCCTTGTTACACATGTGAGGGAAGAGTCTCTCCAGTCATTGAATACACTTTTAAGTTCAGTGTTAATGCATAACCAGTATGTCAAAGATGCTTCCTATCAGGGTAGTACTGATATCCAACACTGTTGTAAGCACTAACTCACCAGCTCAGCATAAAATGAAGTTGATTAAAGAACAGCAGCAGTTTTGTACAGACTTAGTGAGTTAAACCACCCCAGTGAAGAGCCAAATGAGTTCCAGTGGAGCAAAATAGGGAGGAAAATGGGCTGCACGTGACACAGCTGAGGCAGCTCATAACCACAAGGTTCAGGAACCAGAAGCTGAGAGAACAAGTGAAAGAGGGCACAGAAATAATGCCTTCATTTTGCAGCAGCAGTATCAGCAACAGTTGTCCTTTTATCTCCCCACAAGATGTGCTTCTGGCCTATTCACTGCAATTCCTCACCTGCTGAGGCAGTGGGAAGGAGCTGCTGAGGAAGTAAGACAAAAGAAAGAAAACCTTTAAGCTAGTCATGAGATGGTCATTCAAATGACAAGTGAATACCACTCCACGTGTTCACATTGCTGGCAAATTTTGGGGTTCCACAATATAGGAAAGACATAAAACATGTAGAGCAGTTCCAAAGGAGAACAACCAGGATGGTGAAGAGTCTGGAGAACAAGAAGTATGAGGAGCAGCTGAGGTCCCTGGCTTCGTTCATTCCATTGCAGAGGAGGCTGAGGGAAGGCCTTGTGGTAGCTGCAGCTCCTAACAGGCTGGTGGGTTGGAAAGTGCATTTGCACACCTGTTCAGGGAGTTACAGTTGGGTGTTAATTCCGCCATGTGGTATGCAGCTAACCAGTCCTGTACAACAACCTGCCAGTTTGCACAGAAGAATATTTCATTTTATTGGAAAAGACCTCTGAATAACAAATATATTCATGGAATCTAAAACCTGATCTTAACTTGCAAACAGAGCAAAAAAAAAAAAAAAAAAAAAAAGCTGCCTTCGCTGGTATTTTATTTCCAGTAAATAATTCAAACTCTTCTAATATAAATTTCTTCATTTTGAAACAAGGAATTTGGCTTTGCACAGACAATTCCCAGTGCAGTATTTTTTTCTGACAGGAGCCATCTCCACTGAATTCTGGCAAGTAATCTAAGTTTCACTAAAACAGTTGGGATGTCCAGCAAAATATTGTTAGCTGCAAAATCTCCACTGCTTTTTGAACATAGGCTGGTACATAAAATTATGAGGGTTTCAATCATTTCCTTGTCTCAAAGCTGTAATTTATGTCAATAAGAGGGAAGGGATTAATGGAAAGCATGAATTATCTTTTCACTACAATACTGCTTCCAAAATGTATATTTTAAGCATCCTAGCACACGGCACACTGGTATGGAAGTCTTTAAAACTGTGTTGATCAAGAACTGATAAAAGAATTCTTTACGCTTAAAACCATAAAATGAATCTGTTAAAAATATCCACAGGAGAGCACAAGACTTCTGAATATTTGCTTACTCTTTCCAACATCCCTTTTTTCTCTTGCCCTTAAAGAAATTCATATTAATTATAAAAATGAGGACATTCCTAATACGATTTTTAGTGAAAAGTTACAAGGTTTAATTTGTGTGAAAGTACTGACAAGTTTATTCATTTTGTAGGAGGGTGGAATTTGCCTCACGTAACACTCAGGACTCAGCTACAGCTTTGATAGAAATGTTATTTGGTAATTATCTGCTCTTCCCTTGGAGACAAAGTAATTAATTCTGCTCTGCACTTCACAGCATATTCTGTTTTTACACACATATGAAGGATGAATTCTGGAAGATTATGATCAATACTTACTGCATTGGCAGCCAATAACTCATCATCCTGGCAGCTGCATCATGACTTAAACAAACAAACTCAGGAACACACAATTCTGACTTCACTTGTTGACCTTGTTTGTGTTTTAGAGGGGTGAAGAAAAATAAATACTTAAAATTAGGTTTCATTAAAGAAGTGTATGGCATTTTCCCCAAAGAAAATAATACACAAATGTTTTCTTTGTGACTTAACTCAGAACCAAAATATAAGCGATACATTTTTACCTATTACTTGATTGTAGCTTTTTTTTTTTTTTTTTAAGAGTTAGATAAAACATAAATTTGAGCATAAATTTGAAAATCGGCATTTTGTACCTAAATACTACACTGGTATTTTTGAAGCCATTTTTGCCTGCAACAAGGCAAGTCCAAGGTCGGTAGGGAAAGACTGGGGAAAGAGCTCGGTGCTAGGGATTGCATCAGACCTGGCCCTGGAAGCTCTGCCTCAGTCTCCGTCCCAGGTAACATGGCCAAGGAAAAACATTTAGGCTAGAGGAGTTAGAACTATGATTTTATCCAAGCATTTGAAAGAACAAAATCTCCTGGTATAGATGCAAAAGTGCAACATGCATTTCCCTTTTTTCCGTTTTTGAGGGCCTGTTCTCAATTTTATCATAAAAAGCACACCCATATAACCTACTTTATCCTCTTAGAAAGGTTGCTTCTTGTCCTCTGTGTGAAGTACTTTCTGATCTTGCTTGGCTGTAGTTTCTTGAGGTTGTGGTTTTCCATTTGCAAAATAAGTATAACATTTCCTATCAACAGGAATGTTGTGTAAATAAAAATATTAAAGGTATCAGAGAGTGCAGTTATAGAAAGACAAATACCAATACTGTGGCTAAGAACTAGTGGCTTAATGTTTTGAAGTTTGTCACTGTCCAAAAAAACCAGACAGCTGAAATTCTCATTTATTCCATTAGCAAGTAAGGGACTTGGCACCAGACACATAATTGGTACCGTCCTTAGTCAGTTTTTTAAAAAGCTCTTGGACTTAATCTGCCAATAAACCAACAATTAGACATTTTACAGGAAACTATTCCATTGACAAAAATTAAGTTTAGGAAGAAGGAGTCAGAAGACTGGAACTGGCTGCACTTCACAAAGTGCTAGTAATAAATCCTGACAGTAAAAGGGAATGCAATACTTAAGCCAGAAAAGTGAAATCACTAAAAATAAAACTACAGGCAAATTACATTGAGCTCTCAGATCTCATTCGAATATCTGACTGGAAAAATTTCTTGCCATGATAGCTGTAGCATCCCAAGAGGTCTACATCTGCCTTCGGCCATACAACTCTGCCAATCAAGAAGACAAATAATGAATGATGTTCGTTTCCTCATTTGGTATGCTTTGGTTTGTGGCCAAGATAAAACACTTAGAGTGAAGAGGAAAACAGTTTTTGTGTCCAACAAAGATGCCCCTCTAGAGTTCCTTTCAGGCTCAGAGCCACATTTTGAAACACCACCCCCAGCTGCCTCCTCCCAGAAAAAAAATCCACCATAAAATATATGAAAAAAAACTTCCAAGACCAAACCACAGAATGCGCCATTTTTTCCTGCACAAAGCACAGACTGGCTCTGGGAGCACTAACACCCACCTGCGGGTCAGACAGCCAGGGACTGAGGCCATGAGTATTCTCTGCACTCATCACACAGGCAAAAAAGCCTCAGTGTAGTACCCATCAATATCTCTAAGTCTTATCTTTCCTGGGTCTTCTGTGTAAGCTCTTTTCTCTGAGGGTGACACATTTGATATGCAGTAAGATGACAGAATGAAGGCATATAGTATTCTTCTTCCTACCCTGTCCTCTGTTCTCCTTTGCATGAGATACCATGAAGCTCTTTCAAGCTCAACTCCTGCAGCTTGCTGGCAAATGATTGGCCAGGAGATGACACATTGGCCTTGCTGTGTGCTAGATCTTGCTATGCTAGATACACCCTTGTTAATGCCACGGGATCTGTTACTTCTCCATGGTAGACTAGCACAAAGCAAGGAATCACCTGGAATCAGTTCCATAGAATGAGCACAGTACTGTACTCATCCTTATTAACATGCCCTTCCTCACTGCTGAGAAGCAGGGCTAATTACTGGGGCTGCAGTACTGACTTAAACTCATAATGTCTCGCTGTTCCGGTGCTATTTTAGTTGTTACTACTCTGAGATTATCCACAGCACACTCTCCCGGCTTCGATGAGATACAACGAGAAATGAGGTGAAAAAGCTTCCTTTGCCTTTTCCTCATACTTCTGGAAAGGTTTGTGTTACTCTTGATTACAATACAGGGTGGAGGCTTAGGGTCAAGCTTCACTTCCAGCTCAGCTCTTCCTCTCCTAATTACCCAAACCATACTCATCATGATTAATTCTCTCATCAGTGTTTCAAGGTCTTCAGGGATTTTGGCAAAGATGACTATGCTATCAGCCGATCTAATGTGGCTTAGGTGCTCTCATTTATCACAGTGCCCTTTCCCTCCTCCCTACTCAAGGTTTTTATAATCTTTTCCAAGGAAGAAGAAAATTGTTCCAGGGTGACAATATCTTCTTGTCTAGTTCTATTCTTCCACTTAATCTCTTCACTTTTCCTGTCAATGTTTAAATGTCAATGCAATGCATTGTTCACAAGCTCCGGGATTCTAAGAAATCCTTCACGATGTTTCTATTCCTGACTGTGTCCAGGCTTCTTCTGCATACACTGTTTCCATTATCCACCTCATTAGGGGCGTGCACCTGCTCCTGTAGAAGCCAGTGGCAACCTTCCCACTTAGTTCAAAAAGAACAGGTTTGGACCCAGTGGTGTGCCTACTGATGAATTAACTTCCAGACAGAACTCAAAGAGGCAGGAAATTTTCCAGGAATTGCCATTTGAACAGAAGAGGATTTTCCTAATTGCAGATGTCAAATTTTTTTCTGTATACAATCAATAGTCCACTGCTTAAGACTTAAATGAGAATGGACTGCACAAAACTGTTAATAGAAAAACTAAACCATAGTTCACTAACTTCCTCATACAGTGAATTTTATTAATGTAGACACCATTTACACTGTAGACTACAAGTGCTTGTGACATGAAGGGATGGCTACTATTTGAAATGAAAGAAAACACATTCCTGGATGGCCAGTACGGGATATTCTCCAAGTAACGTCTCTCCATTAAATTAAATTTCATCACTGCTGAAACACAACATTGAGATAGTCCTCCCCTTCAAAAACAAACAAACAAAAAAAAAAACCATAACAAAACAACAACAGCAAGATAGAGCAAAAGAGAAAATATTATTTTAGCTTCTACAGAAGTTTGAGGGGAAAAAAAAAAAAAAAGAAAAAAGGTATTTTTCATCTTTTAATCTTTCGGGGATATATGATGGAAGATATAGGTTGCAATGTCTCTAATGTTCTTCTGCCTTGACTGTTTGCCTTGTGGAGATGCTGCTTCTTTGAGAGTTAGAATAATATCTTAGCACACAGCAGTTTAAAACACATCATAAACTTCATTTCCTATATGGTCCAGATCAGTCTCATTTCTACACTACAGTGTGTCTCCCCCAAAACTTCCAAATGAATCACGCCATATTTAAACCTGGTTTGTAAAATGGAACACAAAACAATCTACCTTCCTTCCAAATTGGAGAGACTAATTGAAGTTGAACTTCACAAAATAGACATCTGATCAAAATTTTCTTAAAAATTGAAGAAATATTACTAGTTTTTGCTTGACTCACAGCTGACTGCATTGTCAGTATTCTAATCTCAGGCACAGAATTCTGCTTTTGCTGGTTACAAAGCTGTAATATAGATTAATGTCCGCTGAGCTATAGTTGGAGACCAAAATGAATCTCTCTTATGATGTAAACCAGATTTAAGTCGTATCCTCCAGAATCTATTCCATTAACAGATTTCTTTCCTATTCTTTCATCAGACATAAACCCAATCTGACAATCTTCAATCAAATTGTCATGGAGCTCATTAAAGACACTGGAAATTTCTCCAAGTTAACTATAAGATCAAATATGTTCTTCACATCACTGCTACTGCAGTGAGTTTTATAAATAAGCCTGTAGCTCCTATGTGTTAACGGTAAATAAAGCTGAAATGATTACATGTGTGAGGCCATGTTGTTCAGAGCATATAATAGGCAAAAAAAGGCAAACGAAAAATTGAAAGAACCTGAGCTTGGTGTTAAGTAATAGATAAAGCAACTTCATGTTATTCCTTGTCAACTGTCCACATTCCATGTGTTTCTTTATGCCAAGGATCCTTTTTCTCCAGCCCTTCTGCATGGATATAATCTTGTGGAAGAACAGTTGCATGCCACCACCCTTTTCTACTTGATAATTTTGATTACCGAGTGATTCAGATATCAGTTGTGTTATATGTAAGGAAATCCAAATCTCTGCATTAGTGATTTAGAAGGTAATTAACATGGAGAATAAGGCACAGATTTTTATGCCCTCTCCTAATCATATCTTTGTAAAGGACTTGAACAGTTATTTGGCAACACACAAAAGACATCAGTAAACCAGATTTCCAACTTCGGTTTGCATAACAAAAATCATTGATGCCCCCTTTCCTTTAATAACAAATACCTATGAGAGTTCTAAAACACAGTCATGAATGTACTATGAAGTGACTCCAGAACACTCTTCACTATAAGATTACTTTTCATAGGAGGTTATTGTACTTCAACTACCAGCTACACTGATCCTCCCAAGTAACGCAGTCAATTTTACTGTGCATTTCAAATATACTGATTTCTTGGCTCCTGAGAAGAGACTAATTGAGAGGGTGTACTGTATTACAGAATACAATTTGCCTAAAAAGATTACCGTCTAGCTCATTAATTTTACATTACCATACCATACTTCTATTGACTTTATCACAATGCTTTCTACAGCTACTTACTACATAGCAAAAACGCACAGAGATCACATAGCCATTAAAGTGATGAAAAATTCTGTAGAGACGTTATTATTTATTTATGACATAGCTGTGTCTCCTGGTTTTAGTCAATATTGACACACACTGCACCAATCCAAAAAAATGTGTTCCCTCTCCTGAAAAACTCTAAGTCTAATTACTCCTGGAAGCAGAACTAGTATGACACAAACAAATAGAAAGAAGGAAAAAGCAGTAGTTACGAGTTGTATTTATGTAAGTCAAATATTTACACAATTGGAGACCTTGTCTGCATTTTATAAACATACACTAAGATAATTGCAGTAAACATTGATAAGAAATAGAAGTGAATGTCAAAGGGAGAACTTAAAGAAGACTGAACTATTGAGGGTTCTAATCCCAAAGAGACAATTGGGGATGATATTTGAGCTGAAAGAATTTGAACAGAGCAGACTGATGCTGATATGTCAGTGAAACAAATGCTGCAGCATTCACACAATTAAATTTAATATTTCTGAATGAAAATGGTAATACAATAATTTGTCAAGTGCCATAGACAAGGAACTGTTTTAATTCAGTATGAGATAAAGTATATCAGCATGAGTATGCTGAAGGATGCTCTTGGTTACCAAGCAGTAGAGTCTTAAAGGTGTCAGAAGAGACCCAGGTCCCTTCTGGTGAAAAGCCAATTCTTACTTGGACTAAAGGAAAAACCTCCACTTTATGAGTACTTCTAAAATTATGAGAAAAAAATAATACTTGTTTTCAGAATTAAATGGTTAGTATAAAGTAGAAATTTCACTTGAAAATGAATTTTAGTACAATTATTTGAAGTAGTAAAAATTCTTAATTTGTTGGATATGAGCACAAGCTGTGAGGTATGTCAAATGGCTCCTTTGACTGAAGGAAGTTAGGAGTGCTGGAGTTTACAGCTGAGTTGCTCCCCACTCTGCCAACAGTGGGTCTGAAGGCCTAAGATTGCTGGCTCAGAAGAGGACATCATCTGCCAGACACAGCATTATAAAGGCAGGAGTGTCATAAAGCCAGAAGTCATTAGGACTACCAGGCTTTTTGCTGCAGAGACACACATCTGAAGCAGTGAGGTTTGTCTTTCCCCACTTGTCACACTAGATCTGCACAATGTACTGAATCTCCCCATAGCTCTCAGTTTCATCTTTACCCTCTGGCTGCAAAATCAGGAGGTCCCATGGGCAACACAATGGCTCTGAACTTGTTGTTCACTGCCATTCTAGTATGGGAGAACAAAGTGGATGAGGTGATGATGCTCCTGGGGATCCTCGCATCCCCACTCTGTGCTAGAAGATACTGCAGACTGAAGAATCTCAGCTGAAAATTAAAGTGAGTCCAAAAGCTTCAGATCCCACCTGCAAAACTGATCCAGATCTCCCCTGGCTCACGTACGTATGGCAGAGAATCTGCAGACCTGCAGGAAATTTAGCCCCAGGGTTTCTCGAAACAGCAGGTTCTACATGGTAGAATTGCTTTGAAGCCCCTAACAGCCCATAAAATGAACTGGCAAGAACTCAGGAGCATGGCTGTCATAAAACAACCTGTATTTCTCTTGTTGTTCATCAGGAACAATGTACTTCCAGAAAACAATCTGGATTTCATAATAGAATGCAGATGGAAATACCTAACACTCTAAAACATGAAGGTCATGCAGGGAAGATAGGAGACGAGGAAAAATTGGTCTGCTTAATCAGGTTCTCCTTCTGGCTAGACACAAACAATAAAAATACAGTGAAGCAACATGTAGAGAACCAACAGCAAGGAAATACACGTCTTGTTAAACTAATATTCATCCTTATAGGTTCTTTGTACTTATCCTAAGGTTCTACTGCAAATTCTTGCAGTACAGCTCTGGATTTTACACAACACTAACTTAACAATAGTATCCAGTATTTATTTTCCTACCAGTAGTGCTACCTTTACTCAGAAAAGATGCAGCTGTGGTAATGCTCCTAAGGACAGTTGTCCCTCTGCCTCATAGATATGTTTTCAATTAAGTTTAATTACTGCCCCTGTTGTTTCAGACCAAAGCCCATTTTACACAATGTGCAGCTTGTACTGCAGAGTAGCTGCAATCTGGAAGCTCCACAGCAAGAACAGAGAAACTGCTGCCACCCCAGTAGTATTATTTGCCGTAACGATGGATTGAATTCAAAGTCCTTTTTTTCCTTCACGTATTTTTGAGGCTTACCCAGGACTCCAGTGCTACAACCTGGATGCAAGGAAAAAGATAGAATGAGTAAAAGATTAAAGCAGCTCTCCTGAGGCAGACTTTTGTCAGGAAAGTCACTGTCTCTGATGCTTTCTCAGAAATCTCAGCTCCTGCTGTCAATTGATTACAAAGACCAGATTCATTTTTTATTTTAAAAAAATTATAAGCACCGTCAAGTACAGAGGAAAGTCATTAAAATATGACTGAAGTTCTTCTGCAGGGCTCCAAGAAAGAAACAAGGGACAAGAGCTGAGCAGTTGTTGTTCTGACATTATCATTTTAATAAAAACTCAACACTTTGGAAGGTCTTTGTACCACAAACTGGTATTTACAAAGCACAAAGCAAAAAAGAAAAGGCAAAAAATAAATCTCACACCTAAAAGAATTTCAGGGTAAGAAGTTACCCCATAAGTACCCAGCTGAACAGAGACTGGTGTTGGCAAAGATGCTGGTGCATACACAGTATATTAATGCACTACTTTACCTGCTTAAGGCTTAATTCCTGCCCAGCAACTGAGCACTCTGGGTGAAGCATCAGATTTTATGTCAGTCCACATCTTTGTTGTTGAAAACCCACTACTTGCTTAGATTGGAGAGAGGGATGCTTTGCTCTGACTCTCAGTTCAAATGCAGAAAACAGCATGCATAAAATCCACAAAATAAATGCAAATCCACCATCTAAAGAAGCACCATATTAGGAACTCTCTATTTCTTAGGCATAACACAAGTCGTCTCCAGAAATCACACACAGAATCCAAGAACAAACTGAAATGGAACCAGCAGCATTTGCTCCCAGCAGCCTTGATCTGATTGCAGCCACATGGCAATATTAGCTGCCATGTGGAAAACATTCATTAACCTATTTAACCAAAATTAACTATGAAAATGTACTCTAAGTTTTCTTCCTTCATATTGGTAAAGCATTTTTCTACGTAAGTGTTTTCTATCCAATTTAAAGCAATTTTTTTCCTGTAAATAGTATAATTATTATCATTATGCTGGGAAAGGTTAGACCGTGATTTTCGTCGAGTTTTCAGAATCACGTTTTACTTGCTAAAATGTCAGGAAAATAATCTTGTCTTAGACTCACTGAGGTGCAGTAAATTAACTTCAGAAAATAAAACAGGAAACATTATTGGACATCACAGAAGTGGTAAGCTGTAGTTACACACACACACAACAAAAAATAACTTTTTCCAGACAAATTGAATCAATGTGTCAGATACAGTAGCAAAGAATCATGGCCTTGGTCTCATTCCATGGTCCTGGTTCAGTCAAAAATAGAACCGAAAGTGTTGAAGTGGCAGTTCACAGTTTAAGCCATTGAATTGAAGTATCTCTATGTCTGACCATGCACATTTCCCACCCACCTCTACAGCATGATGAATTAATTCTAATCTATTTCCATCATGAGGAGATTTGAAATCTCTCTGTAAGTTTATGTTGACCGCCACATTCCCATTTCAGTCATAAACTTATTTGTATTTGAAAGAGACCTCTTTGGAAACAGCTTTTGAGTGAAAACTTCCATATTCCTACTGAAGGCAATACAGATGTCTTGCTTCAGTACAGTTGAGATATCATTCTTTCTACTTTGGTGAATGTATAATCAACGAACATACAGATATTATAATTACAAAATATCCCAGAGAGTTCGGCTAAACAATGATTATACCAAAAGGAGAATAAATAGAACACTTACCTGTATCCTAGGCTCACTACGAAACTCGAGAAAAGAGATCAACAGAAGAGATTCCTCCCCACTGGCAGTCAGCTCTTAAATGGGCCTAGGAGAGGTGCAGCCAGGCTCCACCCCTTCCGGCAGCACAGGAGAATTGCCTTCACCTGTGCTCCCATGGCTGACTCATTGTTCACCTCAGGTGATTAATCAGAGGTTCAGGCTGTGATTCAGCAGTTCCCATACAGTGATCTCTCATCTGTCTTAAGAGAACATAAAAATGTCTGTGCTGGACAAGATCGGTGCCTCATTTAGCCCAACATTTTTTCTTTAGCAGTGTAACAAGGCAAGCAAGATGTAACACTATCCCAAGAGACAATCCCAGCTTCAGCAATGTACAACATAGCTTCAGTAGCTAAAGATGATGTCTTTGAACTTGTTACCCTTCATAGGAAGTGTGGCATACATTAGTACATACTGGTGTGGGTTGAGAACTGACTGACGGGCAGGGCGCTGAGTGTTGTGATCAGCAGCGTGGAAGCCTGTGATCTAGCTGGAAGCTTGTAACTAGCAATGTTCCCCGGAGCCTGGTGCTGGGTCTGGTCTTGTTCAACATCTTCGTCAGTTACCTGGATGAAGGGTCAGACTGGACCCTCAGCAAGTCTGCTGATTATACAAAGCTGGGAGAAGTGGCTGACATAGCAGAAGCCTATGCTGCTATTGAGTGAGATGTGCACAGGCTGGTGAGTTGGCAGTTAGGAACTTCATGAGGTTCAACAAGGACAAGCGTAGAGTCTTATGCCTGGGGAGGAATAACTGAATGCATCAATATAGGTTGGGGGCTAACCTGCTGAACAGGAGCTCTATGGAGAAGGAGCTGGGTGTCGTGGTATCCTGATGGCTAGCAGGTTGGCCACAAGCCAGCAATGTGTCTTTGTGGCCAAGAAGGCCGGTGGTATCCTGGGATACATTAAAAAGAGTACAGCCAGGACACTGAAGGAAGTGATCCTCCTCCTCTACTCTGCCCTGATAAGGCCACATCTGGAGTACTGTGTGTCCAGTTCTGGGCTCCTCAGTCCAAGAAAGACAAAGAACTTCTAGAAAGAATCTAATGAAGGAACACAAAGATTATTAGGGGCCTTATGAGAAACGGCTGAAAGAGCTGGGGCTGTTCAACCTAGAGAAGACTGAGAGGAGATCTTATCAATGTTTATAAATATCTAATGGATGAGAGTCAATTGGATGTGGCTAGGCTCTTTTCAACAGTGCCCAGCAATAGTAAAGGTGGCAGCAGACACAAACCTGAACATAGGAAGGTCCGCATGAGCATGAGGGAAAATTTCTTTTCTGTGGGGTAACAAAACACTGGAGCAGGCTGCCCAGAGGTTGTGCCTTTTCTCAAAACCTGCTTGGATGCTTTCTTGTATAACTTATTCTAGGAAACATGTTTTAGCAGGGGGCTGGAGTAGATGATCTCCAGGTGTCCTTTCCAATGCCTATGATTCCATACTTCTTTGAAAAAGATACATTTTCAGCTGTCATGATTTCATATACAATTCTTTTAGCCCATCTTGTTTAGCTTTCTTTCAGTCCTAAGAGGTTTGACTGGATGCCTAGTTAACATGTAGTTGCTTTTCTTAGAGACCATTTATGTGATGTTCCTGTCACCTCAGCAGCTTTTCCAAGTCAACTGTATTTTTTTAAATATGAGAGTTGTGATTGACTATTACATTTAATGTGCAGATAAATCATGAATTTATACAGCAGTTAAAATTTTCTGATTTACTATTTCCTAACAACTCTTAACATTCCATTCTTTTCTGTTTTGCTGCTGGTGGTGGTGGTGACTAATGAATTCTGAGCTGATATTCTCACAGAAATGTCAATTACAACCCCCCAGTTTCATTCCTAAATTCCTCATCATCTCAGAACTAACAATTTTATAGCCAAAGTTAGAATTTCTTCTCAGTGCGTATTACTTTACATTAAATATACTGAATGCATGTGCCATTTTATGGTTTAATCATTCAGTGTTGTAAGGCCCTTCTTCCACACTTTTCCATGTTGGCTGTCATTTCTACTGCTCTGAATAACAGTCTCATCTGCAAGCTTTATCACCCTTCTTTGCTTTCTCAGTAACTGCTTATTGTTTAATCTCTACTGCTTGCAGTTTCAAGTGTTAAGTGGCATGAATTGTGTATGATTACAACACAGTACATCAGGAAGGAATGATTTAGAAGAATTATTGCACAATATTTCTATTCTTTTTATCACCTTTTCTTCTTCCCCATCTGTCCTGCGTTCCCCTTGTTTGCAAAATTGCACAGAGAAAAATTGTATGTCATTCAGGGAAATTAGTCTGATAGCTGTTCTCTGAAAAGAACATTTGGATAATTAAAAGATTACTTCTCTTCTGGAGCTTATTGTAGCTGAGCTAGAACCAAGAGGAGGTCTGAAAAAGTGGTTTGAATGTACACATAGGGAAAATCGTAATTTTGTTCACTTAGTATGATGTTCTGACAGAATCAACTGCACTTTTCTTCTCACTAGCTGGTGGGCTGACACAAAATCTCTCCAAGGCCAGAACAAAGAATGCTCCCGGGACCTGACAGCACACAGGATTTATGTAGCAGCAGACCATCATCCTATTCAGAAGCATTTAGCCAGAGTAGTTTGCCTTGCCTCTACATCCAATTTCCATCAGTCAGAAATGTCAAGGGACCAGAAAGATTTAAGAGCAGAGGGTAACCTTTGCTTGGGGGTTGGCTAGTTCATTCACAACATGTAGGAAGTATGAGATGTACTTTAAAAGGCAGGACAAATTATACAGAGTTGTTTTAAAATCTGGCTAGCAACATATTATTGAAAGATGTCTCTTTCAATCTCAAGAAATACGACCTTCAGGATTCTTGTTGTTCCTAGGTCCTGTGATGATAAAATGTTCCTCTTCTGTTTTGCTCCCCGAAGTCCTCTCATTGAGTATTGAGCTTTAACTAAACCCTACTCAGACAAACAAGCCTTCAACAACACAGGTCAGACAATTCATTGTTTTTGTCATTTGTCTGTTCATTTAGCAAATTCTGCTCTTTCTTTTTGGCTTTTCTTCCAGTGAATCATATGCACATAATTCAGGTTGTATATTAGAAAAGAATTCTTCTCCAAAAGAATGGTGAGGCACTGGCACAGGCTGCCCACGAAGGTGATGGAGTCACCATCCCTGGAGGTTTTCAAGAAATGTGGAGCTGTGGACACGGTTAGTGGGCATGGTGGGGATGAGTCGATGATTGAGCACAATGATCTTAGTGGTCTTTTCCAACCTTAATGATTCTACAAATCTATGAGTCTCTGAATAACTCAAAAGTTTTCCAGGGAAGAAACAATAATCCATGTTTATCCTATGTGAACAGAGCCAGGATGAGGACATTCCCTTATTGTGGAAGGTTTTTATGTTTTATATAAATTAGGCAGCATATTATGAAACCAGTTTATATTTCAGAATGCTTTAAGATTTTGTACAACAGCCATCTTACTGTAATGTATGACCTACTCAAGTCACACACACACATTTTCTAAGAAAAGTACATTCACCTCAGTTACGCTCACTGATTCAGTTCTCTAACTGGATGACAACTATGTTACCAAAACTGAGAGAGACATCATTGGAGTTTCACTGCATGTGCACTTTTGTCTGCAGCTATTCACAAATTTTGTGAACCTTATGCTTTCTACAAACGTTGTATTTACTGTAGTCTACGCATTTTCACTGGAAGCAAAGGTTGTGGATATAATTGTTAAAAGCCTAAATTTTTTATTCATAAGCAGATTTTGCAGACAACATTGAATCTGAAAATGATGCTGAGTTTGCCTTGAGAGTGGAAAATAGCAATTTAGCAAAATCACTGACTGTCATGCACAAAAATAAAAATAAAAATAAAAGTTAGAAATGTATTTGCATGGTCAATGAACTGAAATAAAAATTCCTTTTTTGATGTATTAAGCTTATCAAAAAATGGCTAATGAAGGTTACAGTGATTTGCTTTTTATTTTATGTATACCTATATTCCAAAAAATTTCTGAGTTTCTTTCCAAATGTTATTTGTTGACAACTGAGTTGAGCAGCTACTTTTTAACATTTCAGCAAGCATTATATTTTAATTCTGTTTTCCTTCCAAGAGATATCATTTCCAGAATAGCTTTGTTGAAAATATTATTTGTTGCACCAAAGAGATGTCTCAAAGCATGCCTGCACAGAATAAACCCTCAAGCTCACCCTTCTGCAACAAAAGCTCATATTTGTTGTAGGTGGACACATAAGAGTTTTCTTTGTCTCCTTTGAGGACAAAAATAAAAAAAAATAAATAAAAGGCAGCTGTACCTAGCACAAGGCATTGCCATCTGTATGCATTAGAGTAAGCAATTTAATTCCTAAGATAATAGGACTTTCAGAGCTTTCAAAGCTACAGGCAAAAAGAATATATTCCACTTTGCCTTTTAGGTGCCAGACCTGATTTTCCTCCCATCTGAAGTGATTGTCTTAATGGTATTGATATTAGTATGTTTATTTTGTAAGCACATATTTTGAAACAATATTTGGATGAAAACTCTGTAAAGGAAGTAATGAAAGACAGGTAAGGTCATCTGTCACTTTCTGAGTCCTTGGAAAACATATCATTCTCAGAAAATCAGTTTCTATATTGCAATTGTGCACAAGAAAATGAATGACGGGGGGGGGGGGGGGGGCGGGGGAGAGAGAAATCAGGAGAAAAGCTACTTTGTGTTTCATTTTGATGGAAAAAAATCTGTATCAACTGCATGAGGTTTGTGCTGTAACGTAATTCAGATGAGTCATAATGTTGATTTGTATACCAAACATCTCAGAGTGCCTGCAAGACAGCAAGATCAGACCTCTAGTTGAGAGAATTATTTATCAGTCTGAGTGGAATAAGACATCATTCATTTAACAGAAATTAGAAGTAGCTGCCTTGGCAGAGCTGCCTGTGGAATTACAAGAGTATGGGCAAGAATTCTTATAATGCTGGAGAAGTCTGTTTACTGACTTGAG